AAAAAAAAAAAAAAAAAAAAAAAAAAAAAAAAAAAAAAAAAAAAAAAAAAAAAAAAAAAAAAAAGAAATTTCCCATGAAGTAGAAAGCCAAAGGGATAGACAAAAAAGATTTAAAATTAGAGGACCAGCCCAGAAAGTCTAACATTAAATTCGACATATGAAAAATGAAGATTACAAAAAATGGAGAAAGGAAACTGCCAAAACATTTTCTAGGTGGGGTGCAGTGGCTCACACCTGTATCTAAGGTAGGCGGAATCACCTGAGCTGAGCCGCAGAGCTCAAGAATAACCTGGGCAACATGGCAAGACCCTGTCTCTATTTATTTAGAGAGACAGAGAAAGAAGGGGGAGACGGAGAAAGAGAGAGAAAGAAAAGGAAGGAAAGAAAGAAAGAAAAGGAGAAGAGGGAAGAGAAGAAAGAAAAGAAAAAGGAAAAAAAAAATTCTAGGAAAAAATGTTCCCAGAAGGCTCAGCAAAATGGCTGAAAATATTCATACCAAGATATATCATGGTGATATATTAGAAAATGGGAACAGGCCAGGCACAATGGCTCACGCCTGTAATCCCAGCACTCTGGAAGGCCAAGACAGGCGGATCTCCTGAGGTCGAGAGTTTGAGACCAGCTTGATCAACACGGAGAAACCCCATCTCTACTAAAAAATACAAAATTAGCCGGGCGTGGTGGCACGTGTCTGTAATCCCAGCTACTCGGGAGGCTGAGGCAGGAGAATCGCTTGCACCCGGGTGTGGAGGTTACAGTGAGCCTAGATCACGCCAGTGCACTCCAGCCTGGGCAACAAGAGTGAAACTCTGTCTCAAACAACAACAAAACAACAAAACACCAGAACAGAACGAAATAAAACAACAAGAGTAGGGAGGCTTCCTGGGTTGGGTTTTTGCGTTTGTCTTTCAAATGAGGATTTGTATGGATGAAGATACTTTCAAGGAGATGGGTATGCCTGGGGAAGACCAAGAAGGGGGAAGAGGTAGGTCTCTTCAGCAAGATTCATTTTCGTCCCATTCGGGTTGAGATCCCTATGGAAAGAAAGTTCTGAGAGGAGAAGACGGGTGGAAGTCGCAGAGAGACAAAAGGCATCACGGGGGGAACTTTCTATCAGAAATTTCTACCAACCAGGCGGAAAGCGGGCAGCGCTATCTTGGACAGGGTGGTGGCCAGGAGCTCTCTCAGGCTAGGGCTGAAGAAAGCCTCCAACGCTCGGACTGCCTCCCCGATTTCTAAAGCAGCTGTATCGTTCGGGGCCGACCGACGAGCGTCCCCAGGGACGGAACCGCTCTCGTGTTGCTTCCCGCGCTGCAAGAGGGGGCGGCGGCCGGAGCTGGCCCAGGGAGAGGGCGGCACGGAACCGCCACGCGCACACGCCTCGGGCCGGGACGGCGGAGAATGAGGGGCCCGAGGGAGCACACGCTCGAGAACGGGCGACCCCCGGACCACCCGGGCCACTGGCACGACCCCCGCGGGAGCCGAACACGCCTCACGTGAGGCGTGGGGCGGGGCAATCCGCCTGTCGCCTCAGGCGGAATCGCTCACCTGACGGCACGTAATCCTCGTCCTCCTCCGACGTGGAGAAGTCTTCGGAGTCGAATTCCTCCATGTCGCTGCAGCTCAACGCTGGTCAAACTCGCGGGACCGCAGCAGCTGCCTCCAACGGCAAAGCTCTAGGGTGAGACCATACAGCCCGGGCGGCGGCGGCAGCGGTAGCAGGTAGGGCGGCCCCGACAGCGCTTTGCACATGCGCACAGAGTGCCACGTGGTCGCCCTACGACACTTCCGGCCGATGCCTCTGGGCGGGCGCCCCTGAGGCCCTCGCGGGGAGCCGGTACTTGCCCGGATGCGGTGCATGCTGGAACTTGTAGTCTTCGGCGCTGCCTTACCACCTTTATTTAATAAATCTGCTTAAATAAAATTACGTATCTGTGGAAATACAGGCGACCTTCATTAATCATGAGTTATTGTCATATACAAACTTACTTACTCGCTAAAATGTATTGGTAACCCCAAAATCAATCATCACAATACTTTTTGGGGTTCTTCCCGGGCATGCGCAGAGGGTGGAAATTTGGAGTGGGCGGAGGTGCAGGTTCCCAGCAGACGTTTGAACTCGCCAGAGGCACAGCCTTCTCGTTGCAGCTCCAGTGCTGTTAACAGAGTCCTTTCCGCAGTCTGTTTACTGACACTTTTTTTTTTTTTTTGCATTTCTCTGCTTTTTGTGGGTAGTTTTGCTGTTTAAAATGGCCCGCAAGCATAGTGCTGAAGCTCTGCCCAGCGTTCCTAAGGCAAGAAGACCGTGATATGCCTTATGAAGAAAGCCAGCGTGCTGGATAAGCTCCTATCATGCATGAGTTACAGTGCTGCTGGCGGTGAGCTCAGTGTTAACGAGTCGACAATCCGGGACATTAAGAAAGAGGAAAAGGAAATTCACCAATCTGTTCGTGAGGCCGCTCTGGAAAGTGCTAAAGTGACCTCCATAGTGCTTGATGAAGCTATGGAAAAGATGGAAAAGCGACCGAATTTGTGGATTCATGAGATGTCGACTGATTAAAAAAAAAAAAAAATCATAGTGGACAGCATTGTTGTGAAGCCAAAAATATCAAAAAATCTATGGTCACGTTACCCTGGGTCAGAGAAATGTCAAGCCCTTCTCGTCGAGTGCTGGCTGGCTCGTGGGTTTCAAAAGGCGAAAAGGGGTGAAAAATGTTAAACTTGCATGTGAGGCGAGTTCTGCAGATCAAGGGGCTGCGGAAGAATTTTTTAAATACTTGCTAAGTGTTATACAGGAAAGCGTTATGTGGAAGAGCAGGTTTTCAATACGGATGAGACTGGCTTATTTTACAAGGATGTTGGCAAACGAACCTACATAATGGAAACGGCCTCCAAAGTCCCTGGCTTTAAATCATACCAGGATCATGCAACCTTGTTAGTGTGCGCCAATGCCAAGGGCAACTTTAAGTGCAAACCCCAGTGGTGTACAGAGCCCAAAATCCACAAGCACTTAATGGGAAATATGTGAACCATCTGCCAGTTCATTGGAGGTGGAACAAAAAACTGTGGACGTTGTCCATTTGGTTCCACAACTGCTTCATCCCAGAAGCTGAACTCTCTATCCAGGGCAGAAACCTTGCCTTCAAGGTTTTATTAATTTTAGATATTGTTCCAGTCCATTGCTATGAAGAACTCGAAAATGCACACTCCAACAGAGAAGTTATTTTTATGTCCCCAAACACAAAATCTCTTACCCAGCCCCTCGATCAGGGCATAATAAAAACATTCAAGGCACTTGGGAGGCGGAAGTTGCAGTGAGCCGAGATCGTGCCACTGCAGTCCAGCCTGGGCAACAGAGCAAGACTCTGTCTCAAAAAAAAAAAAAAAACCACCACCAACCAAAAAAAAAAAAAAAAAAAAAAAAAAAAAAAGCGTTCAAGGCACACTACACAAGGGCGCTTTACACGACGGCCTGTGAGGCTTTCAGGGCCAAGAAGGAAACCACCATGCTGGACTATTGGAAGTCCGTCACTATATGCAACATGATTGATTATGTTGGCACAGCCTGAGACTGCACTGAGCAGGCTACTATCAGTAACTGTTGGGCAGGCGTGGTGGCTCACGCCTGTAATCCCAGCATTTTGGGAGGCTGAAGCGGGCAGATCACAAGGTCAGGGGTTCGAGACCAGCCTGGCCAACATAGTGAAACCCCATCTCTACTAAAAATACAAAAAATTAGCCAGGTGTGGTGGCGGGCACCTGCCATCCCAGCTACCCAGAAGGCTGAGGCAGGAGAATCGCTTGAACCCGGGAGGCAGAGGTTTCAGTGAGTGGAGATGGCACCATTGCACTCCAGCCTGGACGGCAGAGCAAGATTCTGTCTCAAAAAAAATAATTAAAATTTAAATTTAAAAAACTGTGGGGAAAATGTTTGGCCAGACTGTGTGGAGAATTTTGAAGGCTTTGAAGGTGTTACAGAAAATATAAAGAATGGTGTCCGAAGCATAACGCATATGGCACAGCAGGTAAGTGGAGAGGGCTTTGATGACATGAAGGATAGATAAGATGTGGAGGAAATTTTGGCAAATAAGGCAGTGGAACCAACTAACAAAGGCCTGGATGAGATGGCAAAACAAGGCATTGGAGTCGATGAAGAGGATCGCCATGCAAGTCGGCCCAAGAGTTCCAGAATGCTCCCTCACACAGCAGCCAAAATATTGGAGTTCTGCCTTGGAAAAAATTTTTAGTGACATGGAAGAGTGTGACCCTATGCTTGATGGAAGCCTCAAATTTAAATGCCTGGCCTCCACCGCGTTTGCCTCTTGTACTGAGATGCTTAAATCTTTCAGGCAGAAAGCCAAGCAGGCAAGGCTGATGCAATTTCTCAAGCCAGTTTCGGGGGGAAGATTGCCCACTCCAAGTGTTGAGAGCCAGACTCCTAACGTGACCTGTCACCCTCTTCCTCTTCTGCAGAATAAATTTCACTCACCCCTCCTCTGGTTTCTGTGGGACAAACCAAGGTCCAGAGGTTTTCCCACGTTTTGTAACTCGATCAACATTAATTATTTTTATAAAACTTAGGATACTCGAACTTTGAACTTTTTCACTTTCTTTGTATTACTGTATGGTATACAGTATGTGTGCACAGTAGTGAATGTGTACTTCAGGAACTGTACAGTATATTATACTGTTTACTGTATGTGGGCACTATATATGTGTATTCTGTGACAGTGAAAAAGTAGTACAGGTCAGGCGAGGTGGCTCACACCTGTAATCCTAGCACTTTGGGTAGCCAAGGCAGGTAGATCACGAGGTCAGGAGTTCAAGACCAGCCTGGCCAACATGCTAAAAGCCCGTCTCTACTAAAAATACAAAATGGAGCTGGGCATGGTGGCGGGCACCTGCAATTCAAGCTACTTGGGAGGCTGAGTCAGGAGAATCATTTGAACTTGGGAAGTGGAGGTTGCAGTGAGCGAAGATTGCAACATTGCACTCTAGCCTGGGTCACAGGGTAAGACTCTGTCTTAAAAAAAAAAAAAAAGTAGTACAATCTCAGTACACCACAGTACATTGCACCAAAATACTGTCATTGACATTTTATTATAAATATGGATTATTTCTAAGAAATACATATTAAATAAGGTGTCTTTGAACAGAAACACATATAAAACAAAGTTACATATTGATCAGTTGTCAAAAGTGTTGACTAGAAGTTCACAGGAACCTAACGAAGCATTTATCCCAGGAGCCATGGTTCAGTTTTTACTAATTCAGTGTTAGTTGAATTTCGTTAATTCAACAACTTTATAGACAAAACTACTGTGAATACAAAGAATTGACTCTTCAGGAATGCAGCTATCATCCACACGAACCCTTCCTTCAAGTTAAACCATATGGGAAGTACAACCATATATAACTGTTACCATTCCTTCAGATTAAAACATTTTAAAGATCTATTTATGAGGTGATAATCAGAAGCAAATTCAGATGAAACACCAATGACTACCATACTACTTGTTTCTCTTACATACAGATATGATTTTTTTTTCAGCTGAAATTGCTTCTCATTGATACACTACACTAGACTGGGTCTGTAAATCCAGGAAATCAAGGAATAGATGTTACATGAATCAAGGAATAGATGAGACATGCATGTGATTAATAAAACATTGCAATGGCTTCATACCAGCAAACTTCAAAAAATAACATTATTAAGACACAGTTCACACACCGTAATATTTACCTATTTGAAGTACACAATTCAGGCCGGGCACAGTGGCTCTCACCCTGTAATTGCAGCACTTTGGGAAGTTGATGCGGGTGGATCACCTGAGGCCAGGATTTCAAGACCAGCCTGGCCAATATGGTGAAACCCTGTCTCTACATGAATACAAAATTTAGCTGGGCATAATGGCGGGTGCCTGTAATCCCAGCTACTTGGGAGGCTGAAGTGGGAGAATCACTTGAACCCGGGAGGTGGAGGTTGCAGTGGGCCAAGATCGCACCACTGCACTCCAGCCTGGGCGTCAGAGCGAGACTCCATCTCAATAAAATAAAGTAAAATAAAAATGTGCACAATTCAATAGTCTTTATTCAGACTTGCACAATCAACATTAACTCCATTTAGAACATTTTCATTGCCCCCAAAATAAACCCTTTCTCATTCCCCATTTGTGCTCATTCCATTTCTCCTCAAAGACCAGCCCCTATAGATTTAACTATTCTGGACATTTATTTAGGTGGAATCAGACAATATGTGGTCTTTGGGGACTGAGTTAGCATGACATTTTCAAAGTTCATTTCTCTTAGGTATATCCTAAGTGGGATTGCCTGTTCATATAACAACATTTTTTTAAAAAACCTTTTGAAGAACTGCCAAAGTGTTTTCCAAAGCAGTTGTACCATTTTATATTCTCAACAGCAGGATGTGAGGGTTACAATTTCTCTGCACCCTTGCCAATACTTTTTTTCATTCTAGCCATCCTAGTGCGTGTGAAGTGACATCTCACTGTAGTATCAATTTGCACTTCTCTGATGACTAACAAAGTTAAGCATCTTTTCATGTCCTAATTGGCCATTGTATATGCTCGTTAGAGAAATATCTTTAGAGATCTTTTGCCCTTATTTTTTACCTTTTTTTAAAGACAGAATCTGGCGCTTTAGCCCAGGCTGGAGTGCAGTGTGGCGACCTCGGCTGATTGCAAGCTCCGCCTCCTAGGTTCAAGTGATTCACCTACCTCAGCCTCCAGAGTAGCTAGAACCACAGTTGTAAGCCACCACGCACACTAA